CTGAAAACCGCTGATTCAGTCAATCTTTGAATTATTATTATTTTAGCTGGAAATCAATCGACCTGCTTCCTATGAGATCCTTTTTAAACTTCCAGGAAATGCATGAGCTCAACGTTCCCATCTTATCGATAGCATTTTTTCTACAAGATATAATTCACATTTCTTGCAAAAAAGGAAGCCCTAAAGGGAAAAAAAGGTGAACCACACAGAAACCACACGAGAAAATAATCCAGACCATTACATTTTCGGCCTGAAGCTAAACAAAAACAGTCTTGTATGTTATATCTGCAAATCATATATTTTGCGTCCTTCCTCTAGCACTTTCCTTGGACAATTTTACGCTGAATGTCACCAAGGCAGTTACGCGAGGAAAGGCGGCAGAACTGGCAAAAGAAAAGAAGATGGAAGGAAACAGAGAGGCCAAGGACAAACGAAATTTGTACCTCGCTAAAGAGGGTCTCATCTTACCAGGCTCGACCGCCGCGGAGGGTTTGTCTAAAGCTGATCTGCTAAAGAGACAAAAAGCTGAAAAGGAGAAGAAAGTGAAGCTAGAAAATCCCAACTACTTTGTGTCTCAGACCAGGTACGTGTTTTCATGTACTTACAGTATTCTATAATGGTTATCCGTAAATAATAAAGTGATAATAAATTTATACTTTAAGAGGAGGCCTCCAATCGCTTAGAGGATTGACAAGTGACAACCGAAAAGCAGTTTTGTGACGGTTATCGTAAACCGGACCCAGAAGCAATGTGACCGAAAAGTTACTACATCTGGCCAATCACAACCAAGCAAGCTGAACGCGGAAATTTCGTCACCGTTGGTTTAATTTTGCCCTGTTTGATTAAGAAACAAGATTTTTGCTCCACAAATCAGCTGGTTAGGGTACCCATGCAATGTGTTCTAAGAAGGGAGGATAAACCTATAAGATCTACGATATTTTCATTGAATGCGGACACCAGGTTCAAGCTCTCCTGCTTTTAGCACGGTTACATCCTTGGCACAGCTAACAGGTTTCCTTGCGTGACCTCCATACTTACATTTCACGCAGGACGCAAAGTCTTTGTACAAGATTTTTATATGGAGTTCGATTTAACTAGCTGACATTGCTTGTGTTTTCAGGCTTTGTGTCCGAAACCTTGCCCTGAACGTTGACGATAAAAAATTGAAAGAAATCTTCAGCACCGCCGCAGGAAGGAGATCTCATGTGCAGAAAGTGCTGATTATCCGAAGTAAGGATCGCTTGGACAGCTCAGGCCGCGGGCGCTCTATGGGATATGGGTTCGTGGAATTCGCCAATCACAAAGACGCTCTAGCAGCCTTGCGAGCGACCAATAATAATCCAGCTATATTTGGCGCGGACCGTCGGCCAATCGTTGAGTTTGCTTTGGAGAACAGCCTCGTTCTCAAAACGAAGCAGCGGCGGTCGCAGAAGGCTCAACAAAGGCAGCATCAGGCCATGGAAGAGCATGCGCGTGATGGGCAGCCGAAGACAAACAAGGAGAGGAGACTGGAGAAGAATCAGAAGCGAAGAGAAAAGCGACAAAGAAAGAGGGAAGCAAAAAAGATGAGAAAACTAGAACAAGCAAAGGACGGTGAAGGTGGCCAAATATCCGACCTTAGCAACGGAATGAAAAAGACAGAGAAAAGTGCAAATGTAACGCTATCAAAAGTGAAGAAAGTAAATTTTTCACCAAGAACGGTCTTTGCAGCTTCTGGAAAGATGAAACTTGATAAAAAGAATCAACAAAAGAGCAGACAATTTTCTTTAGTGCCTGCTGAAGTCAACAAATCGGATATAAAGCCTCCCACTATGAAGAACAAGTCTTCGGCACCTCACAAGGTGAAGAAACCTTCAAAAGAAACAAGAAACATTGAATCCAGTCTCAACAAAACCTCCGGAATGCCGAATAGAAAGAGAAAAGGCGCATGGAAAAAAGAACAAGAGACAAAAGATGAATCGAAGTTCTCTGAAATGGTGTCCAAGTATAAAAACAAACTTTTCGGAATGACCGATAGCGAATCGTCCGCAAAACGATCACGGTGGTTCCAGTGATTAAGTTATTTGTGACAATGTCTACTTCAAAATGAGTTTTTGGGTGTGTGTAAGCCAGCGAGCGATCTATCGTACNGCATGAACGGTTAGAGAGTTAATCAGTGAATAAAAAATGATTACACAATTTAGAATTGTTTTTCTAGACCGCAGTAATCCTTTCTCTAGAACAATGCCGAGTCCCAGGAAGGGATTATGTACAATTGCAATCACAAAGGACTATTAAAAAAATCTAATTTTCTAACAATGGAAACTTTATTTTCAGTGCTGTCATGATAAAAACTTGACATGACCTCACGTACGTACACTTATTTTAATTTTTTTGGCACTCGGCACACAGACTTCTTTTCGCACGGTTTTTTTACATTAAAATAAGGGCATTAAGATTATATTGGAAATTAAATTAACATCTTCTCTTGGATTTACTCAACAGATATCAAGTTTTAGAACTTGCTCCTTTTTCTGGCATTCTGGCTTTTTAGTGGACCTGATGTGAAATACCGAGTGATGTGCCCATCATGATCAGTTGACTTGACGTCACAGGAAGTTTTCTATTACGTGTCCCAAACTCTTCACGTTGAAACGGAAGTTCTGAATTCCTTGAACAAATGACAGTGTAGAAACATTTCAATGTGTAAAACACGCGAAGCACCTACATGCTAGCATTAAAATAGGCTGATATACCATGCCCTCTGTCACACCCCTATCGACTTTGTATTTTAGCAGGAAGGTTAAGGTAACCTTTGGTTAACGTCCAGACGACGATCGAATAGTATCCCATGATGCAATTTTCTACGTACGTGACGCAACATCGAAGTTATCACAGACGACGACGATCGAATAGTATCCCATGATGCAATTTTCTACGTACGTGACGCAACATCGAAGTTATCATGGA